ATCTCGGTATTGGATTGTTTAATCTGACCATTTCTCTATTTTTCCTCTGGTTTTATTTGTGTTTCAGGGTGTGGGAAGAATCCCTAGCATGCCTGCAAGGCCACGGATTTGCCTTTCTTATATAGAAGAAGGGGTGGTTACTTATTAATCATTGCATCCCTTCGGTATCATTTTTGTCCATTGATTTAATCAATGGTACAGAGCTCACTTGTTCGCCTCTGGCAGTTACTAGACGTCCTGGGCTTTACAAACCACTCATGGACATGTCCAAAACAAGCTCCCATGGCCCAACCACAAGATCCCAGTGGCCCATTGGTACATATGGGTCACCCACATCGCCTGGTCACTGTCCAGACCCGGCCCAACTGCCTAAGACTTGAACACTCTGTCCAACTGAGTTGAGCTGATCCCCAGCTGACCCAGATGAGTGAGCTAGTCCATCCATCTCAGGGAGCTGGCACACTCTACTTGAGCTCCAAATGAGCTCCATCCAGCTGGTTGAACTTCCTACTCGCATCACCCAGCTGTGATACCATTCGTACAGTTTGATATCTTCATCTTATTCAGTCCTTCTAAGTCCCTTGCTCTTATTCCAGACTTAGACTTAATTTTACCATGATCCATTCTGATCATTCACTTCATCGAGCTTGTTCATGATAAATTCTCGTGATCTGAACCAAAGCAGTCTCGTTTCTATTGAACATCTTGGCCTTATGTAAAGTTTTAGGAACGGGAAAATGACAGTTCAGCTGGTTTGAGCTGGCCAATGAGTGTGTAGCTAGACCGCGTTGGGCTGAGCTTCCCCGAGCTCCTCTGAGCTAGTTCGAGCTGTCCCTACACCTCGTTCAGCTACCCTTTTACTCGTGTAACTCCTTTTACTCCCTTTTTCTTCCTTATTTGGCTAAGTCTCAGCTCCCTGATGTACTTAACCACGTTTAGGTCATACGACCTGACTGGTGTATCTCCTTGTGCCATGGTCTGTCTCTGCGATCCAATCCAGGATCGGGACATGACAGTTTTCTTCCTTAGTTTTACTAAATTTGACTAACTTTTTCAACACATACTTGTAAACAATGTGATATTTTT